TGCGATGCGATGCGATGCGAAGCGATGCGATGTGATGCGATGCCAAACAATCAAGAAAGCAAGCAAAAAGTGTCGAGGCTGAATTTTGTCGTTTGCCTTTCTTCCCGAGCGTCGCAGGTGCGCTCCGCTCCACTCTCAGGGTCCAACTATCCGCACTTTCCAAAGTCACAGCGCCGTGTGGAGGAGCGAGCGAGCGGGCGAGCGAGGCTGCTGCTTCAAGTTAACGCGTCGCGGAAGCAAAATGCAGCGCGCTTCCCACGCTCGAACTTCGAGTCCAGAGGGCAGGGTCCTCTTTTGTTATCACCTGCCACACCCTCATCACCTTTCCGTTGAGCCTTTGTGCTTCATCAACGCCGCACCGCACACGCCCACGCCCACGCACACGCACACGCGCACGCACCCGCAATGTGCGGAAGCCCACACGCACGCACCTCCACGCTTCCGCACTTGCTTCCATCGCGGTCTTAAAGCTCGTGGACTGGTTACGTCCCACTTGCTTCTCGTCCACGCCATCTCTATCTCCGCCTCTGCTTTCAGGCAGCTTCGCCATCACCATGGGCTGCAGCATCTGCCTCGACGACTTTGACCAGGCCGACGGCAATGAGCGTCGCGCCACCGCCCTCGCCTGCGGTCACATCTTCCACTACGATTGCCTCACCACTTGGTTCTACGGCCCCACCCGCGCTCCCGGCTACATCTCGCCCAAACGATGTCCGCTCTGCTCCATCTCCGCCGACCCTAGCAAGATGGTCAAGCTCTATCCTTCCGACGGCGACGAGCTCACCACCTACCTCTCCGGACAGCACCTCCACGAGGTCGTCCTGCTCGGCAGCCTCGGCCAGCACATCCCCGACGCCGACGTCGACCGCTCCCAACACAAGGAGTTGCTCGGCAACCTCCTGGATTTCACCCAAGCCCTACAGCAATTCGCCATGGCCGCCCACTCCTTCCGCCACGAACTGACGCTCAAAGCAGGCGTCAAGGTGCGCAGGCTCATCCAAGTCCTCACCACCGACTCCAAGGAACTCTCCCTCCGCGAGTTTCTCCGCGCCGTCGAAGCGCTCGAATCTGCCACAGCCGACACGCACAAGATCAAGAACGACTTTGAGCTCAAGTCAAAGCAAGCACTCGATAGATCCAACGAGCTCGCCCGACACAAACGCAAACTCGACGACAACAAGAGGCTGCTCGACCAGCAAATCGAGGCACTCCGAGCCAGGCAGGCTCAGGTGGAAACGCAGTCGCATCACGTCAACACCCTGATGCAGCAAGTCAGCGAGACGGCCAGGCAGAACGAAGAGCGCGCCAGAGAGCTCGAGCATCGCGAGAGGCAGCTTCGCATGCGCGAACGCGAAATGTTCGAAAAGGTGCGCAAGGAGCGCATCGAGAACAAGGAGTTGATGAGCCACATGACAGCCACCACCAACGCACAGCGCAGCGTGATGCAGACGCAGGTCAGCGAGGCGCTCGCAAAGTGCCAAGAAGCCGAGCGCCAGCGCGACCTGGCACACACCAAGAGCTGCGAGCTCGCCGCACAGCTCACGCAGCTCACGCAGCGCCTGAGATCGCACAAGCGCTCTGCCCCCGCCGGCGAAGCATCGCGCCCGTCCCACCAAGCCTCGCACGATGCACGCCGCATCCGGGCTCTCGAGGCGCGCCTCGCCTCGCAGACCGCCCAGCTCGAAGCGGCGGGCATTGCGACGCCCGAGCACCGGCTCAATCGCGGGCGTTCGGCACGCAGTGCCATCGAATTGAGCTCCAGCAGTCCGCCGCCAGACGCCGACGACACGCCCGCCACGCCGCGCGACAATGCGCCTTCGCCCAGCCGCACGCGCAAGGGCAAGCAGCGCGCGCGCCTTTCACTCTCCGTCGAGCCGCTCAACCTCGACGACGAGATGGACGAGGCGCTCTTCCCCATGCCTGGGCTGGGCGCACTGCGCACCACCCGGCCGCCGCGCCCGCCGCTTGCTGCCAACCCACCCACGGCCAACACTGCGGAGGAGGACGAGGATGGTGACGACGACACCGCGCATGGTACGGGCGCCTCCTCCCGCCCGCTCAAGACGCGCCTCAGCCCCGCGGCAGGCTCGAGTCGCGCCATGGGCCTTGCTGGCCGTATGTCGCGCCGACGCAACGCTGCTGCCCCGGGCGAGTTTGACTGGCTCACCAAGAGCGCCGCGCTGAAACTCGGGCCCAAGCACCGGCCGAAGCACTAGCCAGCGATGACTTTGAGCACCAACGCCGCAGCCATCACCTCGCAGGAACGGTCCCACTTACTCTCGCGACACCCAGTTTGGAAAAACCTGCTTGCATTCGGACGCTTGTGCGAGGGGCTTACAACGGTTTGAGGGGGATATCCTGTGGGGCGTCCCAGACCATCTGCGTGTGTTGATCATCTGCACCGCCAACAAGATTATACCCGACGGATCTGTTGAGTTCCCTCTTGATGGCGGCTTGTTCTGTGAGCACCACAGTTGCAGCTGCGTGTGCGAGCATGATGCCCCACCAGGTTATGCTTGTTGGGACCTGCTTTGTGTAGAGGGAGGTTACGATGAGGTTGACGAGGTGAAAAGTGGCAGTGTGGTCTAGGATGTGGGTTGGGCGACGAACGAGGTAGACTAGGAGGATTGTGTCGAGGGGTATTGTAGCTAGCCAGGTCAAGATGAGTGTCCAGCTACGGGCAGAGTCCTTTGTATGACTCCATTCCCAATGCTCTACGTGCTCCTCGACACTGGCGTCGTCATTCTCTTGGTCTTGGTTGGGTTTGGCTGCTTTGAGACGGATGATGTTGTGGTGGTCGAGGATGGAGGAGGAGTTGATCCAGACATTGTCCAGGTTCCATTGGGCAAACATGGCTGGATCGACGATTGGATCGGGGGAGGAGTTGTTCCAGTTCCAACTCTCGCGCGAGGGTGGGGACCAGTCGTATGTCGGCTCACCTGCAAGTTGACGCCAATCGAACAGCATGCCTACCTGCGTAGGGCCACCTTCAAACATCAACGATGCTGTATCTGCAAAAACTGCCAGCAAAGCCGGGATGACGGCGGCTAGTACGACGTAGTGGATGGATTGAAGTGCGGTGATTTGCGTCAGGATTCGCATGGCATCCCATCCCTGTAGGGGCATACTGAACGCCTCCTTCATCGTGCAAAGCCCCTACTTGAAGCAGGTGGGTTGAAGATTTCGAGAAGCAACAAGTGGTGGACTTGAGGATGTCTGCCAAGGTTGTGCAGACCGACGATCAGCGCAATTGGGCAGGTTCGAGTACCGGCCAAGCTTGGGTGAGGACTGGTGCGTGGTGACGCGGTGCGAACGCTCGATCGACTTCAAGCCGCAATACAAGGGCCAAATCCAAGCCTTGCTAGAGTAGCAGTGGCAAACCAAGGTTGAGAGGTGGTCCAGCTGGCGTGCCAATGCTGCTTCCCGACTGAGCAAGGTGATGACGATGCGCAGATGCAAGCGTTGCAGAGCTGTGCCACTTTCGCACCGATGGCGATAACCGAAAGTGAGTCGGATCGCAACTTGACGGTAGTGATGCAACGAAGAACGACGTGTCACTGCGCACCTTGACCTCGATACTTGCCTCGCTCGCCACCTTTGCCCAAACCCCGAGAGCTGTTCGTGCACAACCTTGCTCGAGCGGCAAGTTCAAGTCGTGTCCGCAACGGCGGTGTAAGGATGCAAAGATGACAGTCACAATCCAACACCTCGAACGGCTCGCGCGCTGTGGTCCCTCGAAAAGCGCTCCACTTCCGAATTCCGAATCATCCCCCCAACGCCTCAGCAGCAAACACACACAATCATCTCGTCGACAAAAGGCAATGCATTCGACTACTGCTACTCATCAAACCCAGGTGCCGAAGGAGCTGACGGCGTCAACTGCATCTGCTGCTGCGTTCCAGGCTGGGAGGCGCGTCTTTGCTGCTCGTACGCAGGCAGACCCCTCGCATCTCCTTCCCCATCCTCCCCCTCTACATCCGCCTCATCTTCGAGCACAGGCGCAGATGCCGCATCCAGCCCGCTCTGCCGCCCCTCATAGCGCGGTACATCCGGATGCGACGCAACGAGCTGCGCCAGCTGCTCCTCCTCGGCCTCCCTTTGCTTCTCGCTCTTGCGTGCCGACATCCCACCTCCCCCACTATCCGAACCGGCTCCAACGCGTGCGGACGGCGGTGAGGACGGCAGCTGCGCCCCAGGTGGAGCGGTGGGTCGGTACGGCTGGTCGAATGGAGAGAAGGCCGTTTGAACCGCAGCCGGCGGAGCAGGTAGCAGGCTCGATGTGGGCATCGGCGTCTGCTTCGCCTTGCCCTTACCACCACCGCTTGCGTCCTGCGCTTCGTCAGGCGGCAGCTCAAAGCCTTCCGCATCTGCCTCGAGCACGGGCGCGGTCGGCGGCAGCACAACAGCTCCGCTCGAAGAGCCGCCAGCAGGTGCAGCCAAGCCATACGCAGGCGCCGTGGGCTCTCCACCCGCTGGCGCCGACGGCATGCTCGCCGCAGCCGACAGAGCGCCCAGAAGCGCCTTGTCGTCCGTGGCAATGTGCGCTGCTGTAGGTCCAGCCTCTGCTTCTTGCTCCCTCGCTGCACCGGACGACTCTGCGAGCACGGCGGTGAACACTTCGGGCGGCACGCTTGTGTCGCGCTCGGCTGGGGGCGGAATGCCGTGCTTGGCATCGCCGCGCGCCAGCGCCGCCGCCAGAGCACCACCGTCGTACGAGGACGACGGCAGCGCTGCCGAGCCAGACGAGATGTACGCCGGGGGCATGTGGCGAAGATCATCGTCGTGCGTCTCGGCGGCATCGGCGGCTTGGAAGTCGGTGTCGTCGAGCAGGGCGCGGCGGGGGGAGCGCGCGCTCTCACCGGACGCTGGTGAAGTGGCGGAGTCGGCGTTGGTCTGGCGGCTGTCGGGATGTGGGGGTGGTGGCGAACGAGGTCGGTCGGTGCGCGAGTCCGAGGCGTGACTGTCGTCGGCGCTGTTGGCGTCGCGTGCCGAGGTGGCAGTGTGGCTCGAGGCGGCGTTGGCGTCTGCATGGTCGTAGACCACCTCGACGGTCTCCTGTGGCGTGGGATCGCCGAGCGCAACACGTCGTGCCGAGCGGCCGGAGCGGATGGAGGCTGCATCGTTGCTGCTGCGCACCGTGTCGTTGCTGTCGCGCGTGCGTGTCCAGCGCGAGACGAGGAAGCGCTTGCGTCGAAGTGCGCTGGACGAGCCTGTGGAAGGGTCGGTGGAATCCGGATCCACCGACTCCTTTTCGGAGCGCCTCCTTCCGAGACGCAGACGTCGTTTCAACCTACCTCCTCCTCCTCCGGCGGGCTTCTCTGTGGGATCGGAGAAGCGACCCATGGTCATGCGCTCCTCGATGCGTGCGAGCGCTTCTTCGTCGTCGAGGCCGGCGAGCTCGTCGTCGAACTTGCGTTCGCGGAGGAAGACGGCTGCGCCGATGAAGAGGACGATGAAGATGGCCAAAAAGATGGAGGTGATGATGATGGCCTTTTGCTGGAACCATACGCTGCGCTCTGGCCTGCTCCAGGACGAGGCGATACTGGAGGGATAGCTGGAAGGAAGCGAGTAGCGATGCGCGGATTGAGTGGCAGCCGAGGTGCCGGCGTTGTATCCGTGCGGGCTGAGCGTGGTGGAAACGTCGCGTTCGCCGAAAAGAGCGGACTCGTCGTCGAATTGGCGCGGATACTGCCGATGCAGGGGAGCGGACGGATGGTGTTGTGGCGGTAGCCGATCGTCGACGTCGTCAAACGGGTGTGGTGGGAGTGAAGACGATGCGGCGGG